ACCTGGCTTAATACCCCGGTAGCAAGTAGTGGATCGTCGTCCTACACTAAGAAATATGGTATTGGAGCTAAGTTAATGATGAAGATGGGGTATGTGGAAGGTACCGGGTTAGGATCAGACAAAAGGGGTATAGTGAATCCAATAGAAACGAAGTTGAGACCACAAGGGTTAGGTGTTGGTGGTATTAAGGAAAAAATTCAACATCCCGACGAAGATATGAGTTCGAGTGACGAAGAGAAACCAGAGAAACCAGATAGAGTGGAGCCTCAGTTAGATATTTTTGATTTAATTGAAGATTTGGAAATGAAAGGTGCCGATGTTCCAATGAAGTATAAGGAGTTGTCAGACAATGTTTCGAAGCAAACCATACGAGACGGGAATCAAAACTTGTCCAGCGAGTTGACGAATGCGTACGAGAAATTGAACAGAATAAATAATGAGTTGGATAATGTAATAAAGGAAGAAAGGTTCCACGGATTTCAATTGAAAGAAATCGAAGCCCGCTTAAGTTCACAAAATGATGAATTAATTCAAATGGAACAGATTGTGGAAGTAATAGACGCATTCAATAACGAATATATTTTGCTTTCAGACGAAGAACAGAAGATTGCTTGTGTTACAAATACGTTGAAAAAGTTGATAAGCCCACCATACTCTGCATTTAAAGGAATTAGGGAAACGTTTGTTTCAATAGTTTCACCAATTGTGTCCGAATTATTCCAGAAGTATTTTGAGGATGCGATTGATCCTAACCACTTACTCATAAATATAATGTCTGACTGGGCTTATATATATCGGGAAATTGAGATAATTGATTTGAATCAATTGGGCCATTGGGACTCCTTAATTTACTCCAACATTAAACAGAATTTGAAATTTATAATTGATGATAAAACATATACGGATACTATTCACGGTCGACTAATGGATTATTTACAGATTTGGATAAGTGCTCCTGTATTGATAAATCCTACATTAGCAATATCGAACAATTTGACTAACGTAGTACTATTGCCCTTTCTTAATCAAATATTGGAAACATGGTCGCCTGGTAAAGACTCGAATATGCCACCCCATAATTTTATTATGGATTATATATCTTTGTTATCTCTAGATGAGTCGCTGATGGTGGGTAAGACTTTGATTCGTACAGTATCCGAGAAATACTTGAATTTTGTAATGCATGGAAGTGGAAGGTCATTCTGGGAAGAATATTTAAGTACGAAACAAGGCAAAGAGTATTATGAGGGAAGTATTATTTCTGAATTAACACTCTTATTTGAAGTCTGGATTATCGTTTTCGATGAAATACTAGGCGAGGGAGTAAGCACAGAGATCCAGAATGCGTTGAAAATGTCCTTTTGCGCTTTTATGTCTACGCATGAAGATCTTTCCTGGTTAGGGTCTAAATTAGAATTTTCTAAGTTAGAGCTTGTTTTTTTGTTGATATTCAAATTCGAGCAACGACAATTAATCAATGAACCACAAGCAGTTGTTCTCTTGCAATTCAAATTCTTTAATCCTTGGATTAAAACCCTAGTCGTATGGTTGCAACTGATTGACTACAGCTCCTTGCAAATATCGCAGTGGTATAGAATGTGGTATGACTGGTTCCGCAATTCTGCTAAGGAATACGGTTTCGCCGCATCACCAATAATCCGTATGGTTGACTGGTATTTCAATACAGGTTTGCATATTATTGAAGATATAGTAAACGATAAACCGGTATCACTACCAATACTACCATCTTATGAAAATGACTCCTTTCCAGCAAACAAAAAGATCTACGAATTAATGTTCAATGAAAATGCAAACCAACCAAACAATATAGTGCCATCTTCAGTAAATGTGGAAGGGATTCCATCTTATCAGTTGATGACAACATTTAAGGACATAGTTGTATCATACTGCATGCTGAATGATATTCTATTCTCTACAATCAAGAACAAACATCATCCTGAATTAGGTCTTCCCTTATATAAACTAGAATCTAAATCAGGAAAGAAATACTCGTATATCCAAGACGATGTTTTATGGATTTCTACAAATCTACAAGATCTTGATAAAATCGATTACCAACCAATTAGCCTTGACGACTTGACTAAATATTTCTGACGAATACCCCAAGAGATTATAACCATGGCATCCATTTCAATAAGCTAATTCTTTGCTTCATTCATCTTAATATATGGAACCATTAAAAGGTTGTGCGAAAACCTGTTTAGTGCTCAATTTTTCACGGGAGAGCTGATAATGAATATGAAGATAAACCAATGCAAATCAAAACAAACAATTGAGGTAATCTCATCTATTATAAGACAATAATGATACAAATTACCAGAAACATAACAATAAGATCGCTCAGAGCTTACAGAAATGAGCTCATTTCCTTACAATCCAGTCCAAGTGTCAGGGCATATTCAATGAAGGAAGACTTTAAACGATTAAACAAAAGAATCAATAGATTCGGAGAAGAGAATACAAAGGAATCAGAGATCACTCTAAAAGTTCTTCGTAAGGTCGGAGGAGTGTCTGTGATTGTTGTATTTTGTCTGATTCTCTGGGCTAGTTCTCGTGTTGAGAATCCAATAAACGAACCTATACCTTTGGAAGATTTAAGTAAAGACGTAAGAGACACTTAAGATACGTCCAACTAACTACAAATAATCCAAAGAATAATAAACATTTGTCCAACCCGTCTGGTGTGCCTAATTTGTTCGAAATGCATATCCACTTGTACATAATTCAATAAAATCGTCGACCTCGGATTTACACGGGGAGAAATACACACGAGCATGATAATACACTTGTAGTCTTCAGCCAAGGTTAGACTAGACCCAAATTGGTGGAATTAGTAGGAGTCTTCGACATAATGGTGGTTCAAGACACTTGATAAAACCCTACAAACAAAGCAAAATTGATTGCATTTTTCTTTGTAACACACTTTCAGGTGGCCATTATTATCCATGATTGTACCTTGTATGGGATCCCTACTGCTGAAGGGGTATTTTGCGGCTGGTATAATCCCATATAACATCATGACTTAAGTCCAGAGTGTATATAATCCGCGCTTAGTCATCTGAAAAATTTCCATATAAATGGCAAATTAACCATTCCTATTGAACTATATCATAGTTAAACCACCGTAAAGATTAGAATAATGTATAGAATCGTTACAAGAAGAGTATTAACTCAAACCACACAAACTTTCTCCAGAAGAACTTTTTCAAACCAAGGAGTTAGAGCCGCAAAGGCTTCTAAAACCAACATGTACTTCGGTGCCGGTATTGCCTTAATTCCAGCCATTATGTCCGTTAACTACTTGAATGGAAACCATATTGCGAATGAAGTTGACGAAAACAAGGTTGAAGAAGGCAAAAAGAAGGCAGAATCTACAGGAAAAAAGGAATTTGTTGAAAAGGCCGAAAAGGAAGCCATTGGTAAAGGTGATGTTAAAACCAAGGTTCCAGCAGAAGAAGCCAACCCAGAAACTAGAACTGAAACTGACAAGCCATCGGAAGAATCCGAAAAAGATGAAGAAAACTCGTACGAAGGTGCAGCCTACAACCCAGAGACCGGGGAAATCAACTGGGATTGTCCTTGTTTAGGAGGCATGGCCCAGGGACCATGTGGTGAAGAATTCAAGGAAGCATTTGCGTGTTTCATCTACTCCGAATCAGAACCAAAGGGTATTGAATGTATCAAAAAGTTCGAAAGTATGAGAAATTGTTTCAGAGAACACCCAGAACACTACAAGGAAGAATTATACGACGACGAAGAACAACAACCATTAGTTGACGTTAACGAGAAGAAGGGAGATGCTTCAGAACAATCTGCCGAAACTATTGCTGACAACGCCACCAAAGTAACCAAGGAAAAAGCCAAGGCTGAAGATTCCAACACCAAATAAGCAGTCGGGCCCTAGACGTATTGCACATGTTGGTTGTAATTATATCTGTACATAGCTATTACAATAAGCATTATTTTATTATTATCACCCATAAATATCATTAACCTATACTACTAACATAAGCATCGCGAAGAAGAAACACGGCCAATTCCCTGCTGTAAGTCTATACTATCAAAACTAAGCATATTCTTCGCATTCTTGCCGCCTGAATTGGTCAGCAACTCAACCCCCAACTGGGCTGTCCGTTGAAACAACTCATCCACCAATTCTCGTTTCTTGCAGCTTACCTCTAGCAAATCGGTGTCCCAATCTCGCACGTACGCATCGATACTTATGTCCATGTTCTTGTTTAGAATCTCCCGTATTTCATCTCTATCCACACATCGTTCGCTCTCCTTATCTATCTTATTGCCAATGATCATGACTCCAGGCCGTTCAACATGACAATGCTCTATAAATCGTTTGAACCAGTCCCGAAGACTGAGCACAGACTCATAGTTGGTAATATCGTACACGAGTATAGCCACATCAGTACCTCTATAAAATGCCTGTGAGATCGAGTTGAACCTCTCCTGCCCTGCCGTGTCCCATATCTGTAAATTCACCTTCTCGGGCGTATTTTTACACCCTGTCAATGTATCTTGGCTGTTATCATGTTCGTCGTCATTTTCTGCACCCAATTCCATCGTTTGTTCCATCGTTTGTTCCAGCCTCCGACTCCTATCATGTCCCTCGTCTCTCGGTATCATCACCGTAGTCGTAAGATAGTCTCCTCCTATCGTCGCCTTGTAAGCATTCGTGAATATATGATAGATGAACTGGGACCTCAAACATGTTTTACCAACCCCCAGATCCCCCAAAATCACTACCTTCAAATTAGGAATGGGCCCATCCTTCACGCCTCCTATGTTATCGTCTATTTTCATATGAAGATCGTCCTATTATTGCTATGGAACCTTGGTATGTTCATTTATTTTTGTGCTGTTGATAACAATTGATCGAAAAAAAGCCTCATGCTCATTTGAAGAATGTTCACTAAAGTTTGCCATAAAGTAGAAACTTGCTATAAAAACAGTCAGAAATATATAAAATGAAGATCTATTACATTGGAGTCTTAAGAATCGGAGGTGACAAAGCATTAGAGTTAACATCAGCTAGAGATTTATCGCAATTTTCGTTCTTTGAAAGGAACGGGGTATCACAGTTCATGACGTTCTTCTCCGAAACTGTATCCCAAAGAACGCAAGCAGGCCAAAGACAGAGTATTGAAGAAGGTAACTACATCGGACACACTTATGCTAGATCAGAGGGACTTGCTTGTGTCGTTATTACTGACAAAGAGTACCCAGTTAGACCAGCTTACACATTGATTAACAAGATTTTAGAAGAATACTTGTCCTTACACCCACAGAAAGATTGGGCCAATATTAGTGCTACAAACGCTAGTTTCAACTACGATAACTTAGAGCATTACATTAAGAAGTACCAGGATCCTAGCCAGGCAGATTCGATCATGAAGGTGCAGCAAGAATTGGACGAAACCAAGATTGTCTTGCACAAGACCATCGAAAGTGTTTTACAAAGAGGTGAAAAATTAGATTCCTTAGTCGATAAGTCTGAGGCGTTGTCCAGTTCTTCGAGAATGTTTTATAAACAGGCCAAGAAGACTAACTCTTGTTGTATAATTATGTAAATTGAACTTGGGGGATACATAGGTGTATTGATTCGAAGAGTATCGGTCAGTTTTTATTTAAGGCCGTCGTATTAGCTTTAGTAAATTTATTAATATACAAGCCTATTGAATAAATTAGTACTATAGCACCCATATATCAAATAGTGGGTGATTATTACTGTATTACATTTTTCAACAGTTACTATTTAATCGTAACGCATCTATAAACTTTCCTTGACCGCGTCGAAAGCTTTCAACAATTTCCGTCTGGCTCCTAAAGCCTTCACTCCTCTCTTCTCCAACAGGGGATCGTCGTATTCAATTAAATCTTTCCAGTAGATATCCTTCAAACAATCGGTATATTTATGCAATCTGAGCAACTTTAACCACGCAGGAATGTTGTTTAATAAATCAGGATTGGAGATATCGGCGGGCATCGACGTGGTCGACGTAGTTTGAGGCGATCCAGAAGAAGCATTAGCTCCTTGCCCTAAACCTTCTGTTGATTTCTTGGTTCTAGTCAACCCTGGAGGAGACTTGTTGTGTTGAGCCAAAATCGGTACCGATGACGAATTTGCTGTTCTGTTAATAGACTCCTCGTAAGCTGAGGCCGGCAGGAAAGGTCCATGTTGCAGAGCACCTTGCTGGGAGAAGTAATGTGAATGCGGTTGCTGATGACCGTGAGCGCTGTGAACATGACTCTTGCGATTAGAGTCCAATGCTACTCTCGAATTAATAGTCGCTAAAGCTCCCAATTTCAATGCAGCATGCGCAGATAAGTCAACAGAGTCGTCTGAACTGTTGGTTCCTTTTTGTTGGCTGACTGAAGGAGAATTGGAATTGGCTGCTGCGAGTTGCAAAAAGTTTGTCTTCTCATACAAGTGCGAAGTTGGGGACTTAGCCCTTTCGAATTGTTGTTGCGGCAAATTGTAGCTGGGACTGTATTTATGGATATTTGGGTCGGCAGAACGGGGTCTTTGAGTCTGCTGCTCCGCATACAAATGCTGCCCATGGTTTCTAACAGAATTCAACTTCGGCTTTGGTTGCTGCAACGCAGGAGCACTCTTCTGGTTCAAAGATGCACCGGTATCACTGCTCAAAGAATTATCCAAATTCAAATTTTCCATCTCGGCGAGAATATCGTTCTGCTGTTGCTGGTATGGTGACAAAACACCGAATGAAACCGGCTGGTTTTGCTGTTGGTGGAGCGGTTGACTGGCAGCCAGCTGGTTATGGTAATGGGTCAAATGGCTATCCAATTTTGACTTGAACGTGAGCAAAATGTCAAGGGGTAAGTTATTGCACAAGTAATCAATCATGGTAATGTTATCACGAGGATTCAACGTCTCGATCCAGTTACAAAATACAATCAAGTCCAGATAGAAGTTGGTAGCCTGTTGCTGTTGCTGGCGGTCTATTGCCTGCTGCTGTTGCTGTTGGCGATTGAAAAAATTGGAAAAATCATTTACCGATTGCGGTCTATTAGGAATAGACGCTAATGGCGGCAAGAAGCTGCCATTACCATTGTTATTCAATAACGACCCAAGCGCACTATGGGACGAAGCCGTAGGCAAATTAGGCGATAACGCAGCATCCGTCAATAACGTATTCTGAAGCGACCCTCCTGGCCCTAATTCCCCAAACCCGTACTGCAGAGTCGAAGGCATCATACCCCGACCCACATTGCCACTCTGAGTCGTCGGCAATGGCGCATCGACATTCTGTTGCATATCCTTGTTGTTTCTCAAATCCAAGTCCAAGTCAGCGGTTAACGTCTCAAATTCTTGCTGAAGATTATATCCAACGCTCTGTTGTCTTTCCTGAAACCCTACGGGTGGTCGACCGCTAGCATTATGTTGCTGAAGAAACGAATACTGTTTAGGTTCGATAGGTGGGGGTGACAAAACAATTTTCTTGTCATTAAATGGAGGTGAACTAAATCCTGGACGATCCATCGTGGGCAGCTGAAAATTTCTGTTCACTTAAATATAGGGTCAATTTGCTTGAATCAATAATTCCTAACAATTACACTGTTGTCTTCCCTATCACACACAATGATTTTTTTCGGACTGCAATTGTTTTAACAGTTGTTTAGAGGGGGTTGAAAGTATATAGGGTTATTCATTTTCAGTACGTTCCACCTCATCGTCGATTCCGAAGAAATTATTCAGGCACGTGACCGATTTTCACCACCAGGTCCAGATTATACCGACGACGACGACGATAAGGGGGCCTACGGAGATAGACGAACGGTGTAAATGCATATAATAGGTAGAAGTAACTAAGAAGAACAAAACTATGTATCAAAGAGCCGAATAAAAGCAAACAGGGGGGCCAGGAGGGCCGTAAATGTAGATGTAAAGTGCAAATCAAGAAGAAGCAGCATAAATGTAGCACCCGTTCGATGGGTAAACGGTGGTAATTAGCAAATGTAAGATATGGAAGCATGTTTACACAATATGTGTACACTTACACCTGGCATTACCCAGATAGGGCACTAGCAACTGCAAATGACAGAGTAGCTGTTAATAGTACCATAGGATGACGCTAATTGTGGGTAGATAAAACTGAAACATGACAGATACTAACGACTTAGCCAGAACTCTTTATTCTCCTGGATGATGTCGCAGGTGTAGCGAAGCTCGGGCAACAATTCGGCGATGTTATTGAATAAGTTTTCGGCAAAGGTGTTGATGAAAAAGATTTGGCCCTTGTGTATGTCGGGGTTGGCCTGCAAGATATCTGGCAATGCGCTTGGGACCTTGTCGTAATGAACATCGAGCTCCGGGGTTGGTTGGAGGAGGGCAAGTTTATTCTCCAACGTCGACACCTCGCAGAATTCCCGACCAAGCACCAGTGCCCATTGGGACGACACCCGTAATGGTCTGGTGACGTTCGAGATATCGGCGCACTTGATCAAGAGACTCGAAATAAGATTGACACGATTAACTTCGAGTATGTATTGGTCTGCCTTGAAATGGGCGAGTTTATCGATGTACTCAAAATGCTCGGCCATATCTGTGGCAAGGATGCAAGATACAATCAAGTTCTTTAAGGAGATGTTAGTCTTGCCGTCGATATCTACATTAAGGATATCGGGCCAGTTTATGGCAAGAATCTTGTTGATGAATACTGCCGAATGGTACAGCTCAAGCACTGATCGTTCGTTGTATATAAGCGACATTGGTGCTGAATGTTTAATCATGAATGCATTGGTAACGCCAGGATGCCCCACGTCGTGGCCTAAGGCCGCTATTAGCAAAGCTAATGTTTGGATAGAATTCATATGAGCCGAGCTCTCAACAGTAGTCTCCTTCTGCATGGACACGATCAGTCCATCTACAAGAGCTGTTTTGGTCTGAACACTGGTTGAAATCGATGTTGACAGCGAGGAACTCTTGTGCAAGTTCTCCAGCACCGTCTCGTTGTCGTCAACTGGTATAAGTTCTACGGCTGCGTCCAACGCTACTTCACCGCTCAACACAAGACATTCGTCAGCCTTGGGGTCGGTTCTGAACTGCTTGAAGCACGGCAAGCACCTCAATCTGATCACGTAGTGAAAACACGCCTGCAACACATCCGTAGCATGACGGAAATTATGAAACGGATTGCCGTTCTTGTAGGTATCTCTGACCATGAATACAAGCCCAAGTAACTCGTTAGATGATGGAAACGACACATCGGGTTGTAAAATCAAATCGGTGTTTTTCTTCACCTCGTTTATCGCATACGCCAATACCAAATACACACAGTACACCAAGTCGTCGTTGGTCAACTCATGGGCCGGAAACGACCAGTGACCTAATAAATGGCATAGCTTCAGCAAATGGCGTTTCGAGTTATTAGATAACAAGCTCAAAAAATCGATTTCTTCCATTATGAGTTTGTTGAGTTCGATGAGGCTCGCGAGAGTCCCCGGGGTGGTGTTGGTATTATACGTCAACACAAATGACATCGTTGCCACTATATCGTCTATCGAAAACATCAAGTCGTTGTCGGCCGCCGTTTCTTGATCGAAAAAATCATTCACTGATGCCTTCCCCGTCCCCGTCCACGTTTCCACTCTCGATATCCTATCGTGGATCAATTTGTCGATCCTCTCGATCGCCTCGTTGATCTGTTCTACCACAACCCCGTTATCCAATGCACCACCATCCACCACCACCACATTCAAATGATTAAAGTAATATTTCAATAATAATGTCTTCTCCTTCAACCCCAACCGATCCAATTTGCATCGCTCCCGCGTTATACTGCGGGCTATAACTATGATCGTAGCATGATTAGTATCATGTTCGTTGTTCCCTTTAGTAAACAAGTAAGAAATAAGCGTCCTGAAACTAGTGAACTTTTTACTACTTCCACTATTGATTCTTTTAACACTGTCGCCTGTATAATTTAGCGATATAACCTCTGACATCGCGACGATTTCTTCCCTTTTATTCTATTTTCTTAGCCACAACAGGGGTTTTTTCTGGAAGTTTCACTTACTATAGTTCTAATATCGACTGTTCCTCTATATATCCACTTTCTGTCGACTGTATGATCAATAATCTATCGCTTAAATAGGAATATCAATAAATATCAACGTTGGAGATTATCCGTCAAGATGAGATTCGTGCGTCACTCTTACGGATATTCACGTGCACGTCAGAATACATACTAAAATACCAATAATGTTCAACGTATTAACGAATATATAGGGTATATAGAAGAGCTAGGACCAACAAGAGAACGGAGACGGTAGAGAGTTGTCTGAAGTGTCTTCGTCTCGAAACATGCGCGTATTCGGCCATTCTTTTGTCGATTTTTTCGAGTAATGCAATTTTGGGGGAAAGATTCTGAGACATGATCTGCTTGTTACGGTTGACTTCGGACCGGACGTAGTTGAGCCTGTATTCCAAGGCGTTGACCACCGTGACAATCTCGTCGAGCTTGCTGACACTGCTGTTGATATCGGAGCGGAATTTTTCCTTGAGGACGTCTTTGTTCGAGTCCAAGTGGTTGAGGATGTCGATAGTGGAGCGACGGACTTCCTTGAGATATTGCGAGAGGGCGTCGAGGTTGGTGATGGCAGGAGGAGCGTGGGAGTGGGAAGGAGACACAGCAAGCGAATCTCTCGTGTGGGTGACGAGGGAGGAACTTAGCGACAGGGCAACGGCCGCGAGACCGTTGGGAAGGCCATCGCCCTGGTCGTCGGGGGATGGCTGATCGGCCACAAGCGAGTCGACGTTGAGAAGCTGGTTAGTCAAAGATTCGTCGTGGGTGGGGTGGTTTTGCGTGGGGATGTAGGCGAACCCTCCCGATTGCACCAAATCCCCGATGACATCTGACGAGAGCGAGTCTTCGCTGGCAGACCCGTTGCCCGTAACGTAGTTGGTGAACCTGAAGGTCTTTTCAGCCGAGGGCGACACGTTCGAGCCATTTTTGAAGTACTGGGAGAGGTCCGTACCGCTCAGTGTTTGCGGGTCCTTGTAGGTGCTGTAGAATTGGTCCACCAACCGCTTTTTGCCCATATCGAGCGACGTGAGCGCCGGCGACGACGCAAACCCAGACACATTCGAGCCACTCGTGCGTCTTATTGGGGTCGATGCATTGGGGATATTCGTGGGCGTTCCATTGGCCGCTCGGGCGTTGGTCTGGATCGTGAATCGATTCGATGCTTTCTGGGATATCGGAGTTCTGGTGATGGAATCGGTGGATCCTGTTCTATCGCCCAATTTGGGTCGTTTCAAACGAACCTTGGTGGAAAGACCATTGAGATTTGTCCCCGAATTGGGACGGGACGAGAATGGTGTACTCAAGCGACCGGTACTGGCTCTATTGGCATTATCATGGTCCAAGCCATTTTTATTATTAATATTTGCGCTCCTTTTATTGATCATTGATATAGCTGGCGAGTCCGGGGTATGATTCGGGGCTTCAGTAGACATAATGGATCTTTATTGCGATAGCATTCTTAGTTGTACGTACAGTGTTTTTACAAAGAATCATCATTCCTCCTACAGCCCAGCCTTTATTTTATATAATGGTGTATGTGCGAAACTCAGATATACATATAAAGCACTTAATATTAATAAACTATGGAAAACTAATGGATTCTAATACATAGAAGGCTTATTTGGCAGCAGATCCACGGCCACCGGCACCGGCAGTGATCAAGTTGACAGTTTCGTCGGAAATATCAACTTCAGGCAATGGTAAACCCTTTTTGGTTGGTGCTGGTAAGAAACCTACTTTGACTAAGTAGCTAATGTAGACACCCATTTGCTTGACGTCAATACCCTTACCACCGCTGACATCCACACCAGTCCACTTCTCGTCGGATTTCAATGCCTTGGAAGCATTGGAGTCGTCCAATTCGGGCGCTTTCGTGTTCTGAGGTAAATTATCCAACACGAAATGCAATAATGGGAACAATGCAGAGTCTTTGGAGTCCTGGACCACAAATCTTTCCAAGGCAGATCTCCAGGTTGGGTAATCATCGATCGAAACATCGTACCCGTATTCGGCCAAGGTGCCTAAGTAGGTATTGAATTGGAGTCTTGGATGGCCCGTGACATGGACAACGGCCAAATGGTCGTCTTGCGGAGGGTGGAACGCAGAGGCCACAACTAATCTTGCAACGTGGTCTACTGGAACCATATTGACGTTGTTGGAAATGTCAGGGTATGATCCTAATTCGGCACAACCCTTCAACATTCTGACCAAGAAGTCATCTGAGTTGGTAGCACCAGTTTCGGAGAATCCAAGAACATAACCAGATCTCACGATACTACCTTTCAATCCACGGTCACCGGCAGTCCTGATTATTCGTTCAGATGCCCATTTGGATTGACCATAACCAGTACCCAAGCCCTTTGCCGAGCCCGATAAATCGTCGGATTCTGGAATACCTGCCAATCCCTTGGCAATCAAATCGTCTGATAATCTGACAAAATGATCGGTATCGATAGCTGATGTAGATGAAACAAATGCAAATTGCTTAGCCTTACCAGTACCACATAAGTTCAAGACATTGACAGTGCTGGTGACATTCGCATCTCTCAATTGAGAGTATGGATAGACCCAGTGAACAAACGCACCATTGTGGATGATAACATCAACAGTTTCAGCTAGCTCATTCCAGGTGGCATCTTCCATACCAAATTGCGGCTTTGATAAGTCACCGAGAACAACCTCAATCTTGTCTTTCCAAGAATCGTTCCAAATACCGTAGGTTAATCCTGTGTTACGCAATCTTTCGAAACCAGCTTCCTTCGAGGACGCTCTTACATGAGCATATACCTTTACTGGTTTTCCTGGACGTGCTGACAACAAGTCACGAACTATGAAAGAACCCAAATACCCGGTAGCACCAGTAAGGAAAACATTAATGGTTTCTGAAGTGTCAAGCGAGTTACGCGATTCATATTTAGGCAATAAATTGGCCTTGATTAATTCTGCAGCATCTGCAGCATAATCAACAGCTTTAACCTTTGTCTCTTCATCATCATTATCGTGTCCTGCTAATTCAAAGTCATCATTTCTAATGAATTTTTGAACTTCACGAGCAAATGCTTCGATCGTTGGGTTCTTAAAAATTACCCCTAATGGAACTTCTACACATAACTTTTTTCTCAACTCAAAGATCATTCTGGTTCCCAAAATAGAGTGGCCGCCTAAGTCAAAGAACGAATCATCTTTAGCAATAGAAGCAGGACGGTTAGGCAATACCTCTAACCACAAGTCACGGATGGTTGATTCCAATTCATTGAAATTCTCTACTTCAGCATTTTGGCCTTTACTATCAGCAGTTAATCTTGCAACCACTGCCAATTGAACACTATCTGGGAAAGGTAATTTCGGCTTATCAACCTTACCGTTAGGATTTAATGGTAACTTAGCTAATGGAACGATCATGGTTGGAACAGCATATGATGCCAATCTTTTCTTCAAATAAGCCCTGATATCCTTGATTAATTCTCTGTAGATAACCAAACCGCCAACAACAGGGTCAGATGCTTCTTCAGTATCAACCTCGGATGTAAAATTCTTCAAGTCCGGAGTATTCTTAGGAACGATGTAGGCGATTAATGTGGGCTCTTCGTTCTTATCTCTTTTAACCAACGTAACATTTTCTCTGACTAAAGGATGTTGAGATAAGTGAGTATCAATCTCACCTAATTCAATTCTGAACCCTCTGATCTTAACCTGGTCATCAGCTCTACCACAACATTCAACATTTCCATCTGGTAAATAACGACCTAAATCACCGGTTCTGTACAATCTGTCTCTTGGCCCTAACCATCCGTCTTCTCTCCAAGTTTCCGTAGAATTCTTGTTTTGTTCATCCTGTTCAGCCCACTTTTTAGGATCAACATACCAATTAGTGACAAACTTAGCTGCATTCAAATCTGGTAATCCTCTGTAACCTTCTGCCAATCCCGCTGCTCTAACATAAATCTCACCAACTTCACCAACACCGCAGGTTTGCGAAGAATCATATCTATTAACAACTAATAATTGGACGTTATACATACCTTTACCAGCAGGCATGACATCTTTCAAATTCTTCAAGTAAACTGGGTCGGATTTACGACTCTTGATTTCAAAGAAGGAAACAGATCTTTGGGTTTCGGTAGTACCATACATGTTGACAATGTAAACATTTTCTGCTAAACTTTGCAATCTCAAGCAATCTCTCTTAGTCAAAATATCACCGACAAAGAAAGCGTGGTGTAAACTTGGAATAGCAGTAGTTGCCTGGGCACTCAACAATTGACCCATTGCTGGAGTTAAATGAGTGACTGTGGCACCATATTCGGCCATCCAGTCTGCCAATTTACCTGGAGTACCAATATCGTCTGAAGTTGGAATTAATAATTGGGCACCCAAAAATAATGGAGTGAACATATCTCTTTGAATAGGATCATGCGCAATTCCCGACAACATAGTGAACTTATCTTTGGATGAGAGATTAAACTGTTTAGACATCCATGGGAAATAGTATGCTAAAGAATAGTGACGACCTAATACACCTTTAGGAATACCTTCGGAACCAGAAGTAAAAGATAATGTAGGGTTAGAATCAGGTCCAACTCTAACACCTGTAGCCTTGTCCTTGAAACTTTCGTAATTTTGCAAGCAATCAGCTGATTGGCCATTTAAGAGACCACCGACTAAAGAGCCATCGTCGTTGACCTTCAATTGAGGAATGGTAGTAATTACATCCAATTCTTTCTCAATATAATCCACAACTAATGAGTCCAAGACACCTGCCTTTTCAATACCAATTAAACCCCTAGGTTTGGCAACCGAAAGATAGATATTCTGTCTAGCTGGTGGATAAGCAGGATCGATAACAGAAAAAGTTGCACCCGCCTTCAAGACACCCATAACTGCAATCATCAAATCAACACCTCTGTAAGCATAGATCATAACAATATCACCTTTCTTAATACCATTTTCCTTCAAGTAGTTACCGACTATATTGGAGGCTTGGTTAATTTGCTGATAATTGAATGTACGGGTTTTGGACTTAGAATCCAAGAATGATTTTGTTTCCACAACACATGTGCTTGAAGGGTTTTCTTCAGCATTCTTCATGAAGATGTCTTGTATAGCACCACGATAGCCAGACCAGTCCAAATCTAAAGTTGGATCTGGTAATTGTCTGATTTGTGAGTCAGTCATCAAGTTTACCTTCGAAATCTCAATATCTGGGTTTGTAGAAACGGCTCCCAAAAACTTCTGGAATTGTTCAGCCAAGATCACAATTCTGTCGTATTTGTACAATAATGAGTTATAGTAAATGCTGAATTTTCCATCTTTTCCTGGACCAAAGAAAGCCAAGTCACGGACAGATCCTTGAACTGCAGTGGACAATTGCTGCGTTGGATTTGCATGCTGATACGACAATCTAAACAACGTTGGGTAATCATCCAATTTCTTGGATGTTTTGATGTACTCAGCGACTTCATTCAACGATTCGTAGTCAATTTTCGTGGAATTGTTGTCATATTCCTTTTGGACATTAGCCAATAACTCACTGAACTTCATTGAAGGAGTTAAGTTCATTCTGACTATGAATTCCTTATAATTCGATTCAGTATCAGTAGCAACAACTATATCCTCATCACCAGTCAATTTATAGATTAAAGCACCAAAAACAGCCAATCCGAATGGAAAATCTTTCGTCTTGTCGTCTGAGACATCAAAGCTGTAAGAAGCTTCCACTGACTGGTTATTAGCTGGTTTTAAAAAGTCATGAGGTAAGACCGATAATGTCGGATTATCTAAATAATTCAACCAAAATTCTTGATTTGACATTGTGGTAACAAATTTATATATAATCCATAAATTATTGACCTGTTACGTTAAGTTAAACAACTAATAATTACTTTTATTGTATATATCTTGGAAATAGCCTATATTCGATGATTTTTCATTCTTCATCTCCAGAGTTTTCCGGTTACGCTCTCAATGAGTCAGACGAAAAATAAAATTTCAAATTGCTGCACTGATAATTCTATCGTTTCATTATATATTTATACTGCTAGTTCATAAATAAAAACTGTAAATCGTCCGGCGTTAGTCTACTTACTGCTGCATCATCATGGTTAATAGTTGCATGAATCATTGTGGCCTTTTTCTCTTGTAATTCGATAATTTTCAGCTCAATACTATCTTCGATGCAAAATCTGGTGATTCGAATCGGTCTCTTCTGACCAATCCGATGAACTCTATCCATAGATTGCCATTCAACACTAGGATTCCACCATGGATCCATGAGAAAAACTTGGGAAGCCTCACATAAATTTAATGCTACACCACCAGCTTTTAAGGAAACCAAGAATACTTCTACCAGGGTGTTTTCCATGAAGTACTTGATAGTGTTATCACGTTGTTGTGGGGACATAGAACCTTGTAATTTGACAGTTTGGAAACCGGCTCTTTTCAATCTCCATTCAATCAAGTCTAACATGGAAGTAAACTGGGAAAACACAATCGATTTAATTGTATGTCGGTCAGACCTAAGTTTGTAGAGCTCTTCCACCAATGCTTCGATCTTTGTGGATGATCGCCATTCGCCACCGTGAGCACCCAACTTGATACGGTTTACAATTGATGCTTTAGAGAATTGTTGTTCATCAACCTCGAGTGCCGTTTGTTGCAAATCAATCGACAAACCAATATGGCAGACAGGACATTGCAAGTTTTTTTCTTCTCCAACAAAAGAATCGGTATACTCTTGAATACACATTCTGCAGAATTTATGATGACACTTCGACTCTATAGGCTCTTCGGCTTCATCGTCACATAATTGACAGATTATGACACCTTCAATTTCTTCCGATATTTGATTGCTACCTACTCTTTTTAATACTAGATCGGGATGATCTGCAAGCTGTCTCATTCTGGTGATCAATGTGAAGATATTGGCATAGTTATTTAAAACCACCCCCTCTGCAACAAAATCATTAAATTTACGTTTCGAGTCACTGTACAATGAGGTGTATAAATCCTTTTCTTCCTCGTTAAACCTATCACGCCTTATTTCAACTATTCTTGGAGGCAATCCTAAATCATCCGCCCTTTCAACTTTTGTCCTTCTTAACATTACATTACTTAATAACAATCTAATGTTTTGAAAACTCGTCAATCCATCACCCTCAATACCAAATTTCTGGATATTCTTCAACATAAAATGATTGAAGAAGTTCGTATGTAACATAGGAGTATGACCACAGATATCACAATGTCTCCAGTTAGAAAATTTCCATTCGTCACTGGAACAATCACATTTTGTACAAAAGTACTTATGAAACGGATCCAACTTTAAGAATCTGATCAATGAGTACATCTCACCGATTCTGTTCTGCAATGGAGTTCCTGTTAAACACCACTTTTTAATACAGTTAACATTGTTAGCAGCTTTTGCTGTTCCCGAAGTTCTGTCTTTAATATTATGGGCTTCATCCAATATAACCCTATAAAATTTAAGTGCATGCAACGGAGACGTTTCTTTAACTAGCCCATTCTTTCTTTTAAAGCCATACTTCTCTTTCCGATATACTGATTCCAAAACTGAATATGAAGTCAATATTATATCATACTTATTTAATTCTTCTAGGTCTGACAACCTATTGGCGCCATGAAAAAGCAATACTTTCAATATATTTCCCTCCGTATGCTTTTCTATTTCATTCTTCCACTGCATTAAGGCAACCGTGGGCCCAACCACTAGATTTGGTCTCTTTGTCAAATCGCTCAAAAATAACGCTATCATTTGTATGGTCTTACCCATACCCATTTCATCTGCCAATATACCTCCCCCATATTCACCATCCTCCTGTCGCATCAACCAATTTAATCCTTCCTGTTGGAATGGCAACAATTTGATGTTCATTCCCGGAGGTTGTTCTGCTCTCTGCACCCGTATCTTATCAACAGCCTGCAAATATGGAAAGACGTCCTTTAAGTGTGGATGCTGGTCATATAACTTATTAGTAACTCTTGTAAAATATGGTACTTTCACTTTTGGTTCTTTCTTCTTTCTCTTCGAAGGTGCCTTCTTCAGTGGTGCAGCCTTTCTTCGCTTTTTAGGTGGTTCTCTCTTGGATAAAGGTAAGTCGTCCTCTGACTCTGACAACGCAATAGCCTGATCCCTCGATTCACCATTTCTTATAATGCTTGAAGAATTCGTAATTTCTAAATCATCATCATTTTCGTCGCTCTCATTGAGATTTTCTATCTTATCAATACTGAAATCTTCATCATCTTCATCATCACTTTCTAATTTCTTTTTTGGCGATTTCTTCTTGCCACGCATATTATTTCTTCGTTTTGGCTGCCCGACATCTATCAGATCTTTCTCCTCGTCATCAGATGACAATTTGTAGTCTATCTTCTGGGATTTCGCTTTTCTAGATCTTTTGTTACTCGCATATTCCGGATCATCAACTATGAACCCACCACCCTCATTTTCTTCATAAGAATGTGCAGCAGTATCTGAATCTTCAGCTATCTGACCTGAAGTCATTTTGGTCCTCCTATTCCAACTTATTTGCCACCAAATATTGACTTTTCAACAAGATAATGGCAATGATGCCTGATTTGCGTCTACTGCAAAATTTACCGGTCTTCACGTGCAACATGATTAGTAACTACGTCGTATCTATGATTACATTATATTCGTCGGCTATATGGGTTTCTATCTATACGTCAGCTATATCATGTTCTTGCGGAGTAGTATAAATTCTTCGTCTTCGACTTCTTCGATTGAAGGCAGTCTGTTTTTCTTGATTTTAATAGGTTCAGATTCGGTTGACTCAGTTTCACTAGAGCTTTCCAAAGCTGTACTCGTGTCTGACACAGGTACTTCTATATTTTCTTCATGTTCAAACAGTGCTTCGTTGCTAATCAGCTTGTATTGATCTTCTGCTTGTTGCTTCTGGCAGTCTTCTTCTTCTTGCCCTTCGGAATTCCTTTGTCTTTGTTCTTCTTGAAGAGCAGCTTCAAGTTTGTCGAGCTTGCGATACAAGCTCTTCTCGTGCCTTGCCTTTCTTCTATGAGCTGATTTCTTACAATTTGATTTCTTTACACTCTTCAGTTTCTTTTTTCCTTCGTATCTGTGTTCTCTCTTCGGTATATTCAAAACTAAAATGTTTTCATTTCTGAACCACTTCCAGTCAATTTCACCTATTTCTATTTCTTCTGGGCTTAATTGGTATAGCTTTGTGAAGTGATCGTTATTTCCCTCAATCTTAAGTAAATAGTCGCCTGCTGAGTCTCTTATCACTCTGATCTCATATCCATTAAAATCACCGTATTTCTTGGCGATTTGGATTTGGTAACTATCTGCTATTTCAATCTGCTTGACACTGCTTGGCTTACTCATTTGCGTAAGCATCTTTTGACTTTGGTTATAATAAAATTGCTTATCTAGTTGATGCATTACATCATTGAATAATAGATTATGACTTCCAATACTGAATGGATTGAATGCGTCAATGTTACAATGTGGAGAAGTGTAGTATCCTATCATTATTTAGGTTTATTGTTATAATGCTTTCTTACGAAACGATGTTCAAAACTACGTTCCCGTGTCGTAATTATATACTAATTTGAATAGGATCTGCAAGAATCTTTCGCAGCTATTATTGATGTTCTAGATAGTTCGAGGAACTTCTAGAGAGATGAGGACGTGTGCCTTCCATAAACATAGAGATTGAATTTTGACACCGCAATTTTACATAATAGGTTAATAGAAACTGTCTTTATATTGATGTATGACATAATTAAAATAGTATACAGTGAGATATCTTACTTGATTATTCAAACTGCTTATCAAGTTAACCATTAGAATAATAAAATAAAAGGTTTTTGTAGTAAAGAGAAACCAATGCAAGAGAAAACAGGGCATTTAACCTAAGCAGCACTTGAAGCCATCGCTCTTTCAGCCCTTTCAGTATCAAACTCAAAATCAAAGTAGGACTTATCAAAGTAGTGCAATCTGATAAAACCATCTTCTCCTCCACTGGCATAACCGGTTCCGTCAGGGTGGACGGCGATAGAATTCAAAGGACCGAAATGACCCTTGACACGGCCAATTTCGTCGATGAAAATTTTATGGTAGAATCTGGCTTCAAACTTACCTTGGGACTCAGCAGTAGTGGTAACATTTCTTGCTTCTTGACCACCTCCCAAGATAACAAAGTCCTTAATTGGGGTGATGGCGGCCGTATTCATTGGAGCGTCGGCTTTGTATACCTTCATCAATTCAAGCGTTTCAACATCAACTAAACATGAACACTTGTCCTTCGATGCAGTAACAATGTAGGACTTGTCTTCTGGAGCAAATTGTATATCGGTAATAGAGGCAACCTTTTCCTCGTTGTGAATACCGTGCACCTGGGCAGTTTCGATGAATTCACCGGTGGAACTGTCGTATTTAGAAACATATCCGTCTTCGTGACCCGCGATAATTAAATCGCCATTAGCTGACCATCCTGCAACTGTAACTTTCTTAGCATCACTTCTAGTCTCAATAATTAACGATGGTTCGCTTTGTTGCTTGGTGTAGTCACCCTCGTAATTTATATCAAACACAGAGATAGTACCGGTTTGACCCATAACTTGATCGGTGACTGCCAACAATCTCTTATTATCAGGAGAGAATGCAACTCTTCTCACTGGTGTTGGCATTTCCCACGACTGAACACATTCACCCGTTTCGATCTTCCACAACTTGATAGTTAAATCAGCACTACCAGTGGCACATAATATAGTATCAGCATCCACGTCGATAGACCAAATAGTACCAATGTGTCCTTCTAAAGTCCCCAATCTTTCACCATTTGATGAATACCAAATTGATGCTGTGCTATCCTTGGCGACGGAAAAGATTAAATCTCCTTCTCTATTGAATTTCACTTGCGTCAATGAACGCTCATGACCCATTAACTTGATTGGTCTCATATTGTATAGTTTTCTTTAATGGTAAACCTCTTTTTGATTTACCTTTCTTCCATCATTGAACTAATTTTTCAACGATGATAAAAAAATTGTTGGCTTATGTAACTATTTTCTCACGTGTTCTACATTTTGCAAGCATTCGTATACCACTACTATTTGCTACTTAACTATAGACTATGCTATCAAGGAAAAGTTGTATGGATATGGTATATGATATAACGGATCTTCTTCGAAGATCCATCAAGAAAAAATTAGCAAACGTTTTCTATTTTAGTCTCCTTGCCATCATGTTCACCGTAATCCAACTTCAACTTTCTGTTGAACAATTCGAATAACCACTCCATACAATTCTTCGTGGTAGCCGGGTCATATCTGCCCTTACTCATCTCGTCTCTGATAAAGGCATGCTGGGCGTCGTTAATCTCAATAAAGGTCATTTCGACGTTGTTTTTTCTCAATTCGCTTCTGATTAGATCTCTGCCTTCAAGAGGGACGTGGTTATCTTTACAGCCGAAAATCATGATCAATTCACCCTTTATTTCGCCACATCTCTTCAACGAGTCGTCTTGTTTGCCCTTACCTAATGCGTGGTTGTGAATGTCCGTGGCGAAGAAGCAAACAGCCGCACGGACTCTTGGATCTAACGCAGCTCTAAAGGCCAAATGACCCCCGAGACACATACCAGTGGCACCAACTTTGCCATTACAAGTAGGCAATGTAGTCAAGTAATCAATGGCTAATTTGTTATCTTCGTCATACGATTTGATTTCCTTGGCGATTTTGTAGTTGTTACCCTTATCTGTACCTTCGTTATCATAGGCCAATGCTTCGTGGCTTTCAAAGTTATGGTAGATCGAAGGACATACAACAATGAAACCTTGTCCTGCAATATCTTTAGCAAATCTGGTCACTGGGCCGGTAACCTGGTAAATTTCACTGTAAACCACCACACCAGGGAATTTAACCTTTGGATAGTTCAAAATTTTTGGATGATAGACAAACAATCTCATGGTTGTGCCATAAGATGTCTTCACGTCATGATACGATTCTTCAATTAGCATTGTGACTTTGGTTGGGAGATATGAAAGATAAGGACTTAATTACTCCAATTCGCTTCAATTTATCACTCGTCCGGTATAGACACATACCACTTCAAATCAGATCAGTTTGGCTGTTAAAAGGTCAATATTAACGGTTATTCGGGAAAAGATTGTAAAGAACGCTCAACAACACGGACATCTCTTTAGTGCTTCTCTAGGGAATTAAAAAAAATCTATATTTGCAGAGAAATCGGCCAGAAGACTGTTCATGACTTATACGGACATTTGAAGTTTATATCAATTTTAGGTTAACCAAAGTATAAGTACATCAACTCATCTTAGGAATATCATCCTAAATCTACATGTAACTACAAGAATGTTTAATCTTAGTCAAGTTAAATATTAAATGCAAATTTTATTCACACCTATTCACCTTATTGAAAGATATGGTCAGTAATAACAATACTGCGTGAATTCATACACAATATGTCATCATTATATAATAATAGCTTATCCCACCTCAGGTATATAGATATTGGTGAACTCTAGAACCACCACAACGAATATTTTCAGAATAGCTCTTGAAACTATTTCTTTCCATGTTCGGCTGCTTTCCTAGCATCAGCTAAATAGAATTGGTCAGTATTCGAGCACAATGATACAATGGTGATATATTTACTACAGTTGGACATAATTATCCATTTACGTACCTTCAGCTTGCTTTCTTCTCATTTTGTCCGCATCACTCTCCATTCTCTTTTTAGGATCCCCTTCCTTCTTTTGACTCTTAGCAGCATCCTGCTGCTTTTTCATGTTCTTTGCTCTTGCAAGATCCCTCTGGTTTCCTCTGGCCATGTTACCAAGTGTCTTAATAGACTTGACTTAAAAGTAATATTTTAGTACCCAGTAGTTGAATTATGACTATTATTAGAAGACAAACATTAATCATGTGACTACAGTAGTATAGAACTAGAACTATGCTATTCTAATCCTACTGCTTTGGCAATGATAAATGCCAAAATAATCATCAGATAAATCTTATACTACGCTAAATCAATGTCGAAAAGAATTGAATTTATTTGGTATAAATAGTGCTAGATAGGATTAATGTACATAAATTATTTTTCTTCTAAATCGAAAACAATGTCACTATCAGCCTTTGGATCATATGGCTTCAACAAGAACTTGGAAAATTTCTTCAAGTTCTCTACCCCTCTGATTTCACAACCGAGTAATGGCATCTTAACCAAATGGTAATCCTCATACAATTCGCCCATTTGGTCCAAGTATTTCTTTTGCATTTTCCATCTGGATTCACATCTCTTACAGGAGTGATCATCGCCATCTGCAAACAATAACTGGTTAACGACAATCGAGTTGACATCCATGTTGTAGGACATCAATTCTTGGATCATTCTTTCTGTTTCGTATAATGACAAAAATTCAGAAATACACACACAGATAAACGTAGTCAAATCAGGGTTGGTAAACTGCTCATTGACTTCGCTCACGTTCTTTTGTACTTCGTTCAATTTCTCAAACATATCTTGTTGTTGGCCACCACCCATCATGCTCAACATAGGTCCCAACTTACCAGACAAGTCCTTAAATTTGGATAATAACTTCTCTAAAGTAGATGGCAATTGTAAGAAACGTAATGTGTGACCAGTAGGCGCCGTATCGAAAATGATTGTCTTGTAGGAAATAGCGTTCGAGTTATCTTCTCCTTCGAGTACCTTCTGATTTTTGATATGCTTCAAAACTTCCATGAACGACAAAGCTTCGTCAATACCAGGAATAGACCCAGTCATATCGTTCATCATACTCTTTAATGGGTCATTTGGATCGTTGTTGTATTGTGATGCTTGTTGCTGTAAATCAGACATTGCTGCTTCTGGGTCGATTTCCATACACGACAAATTTGGTAACCCTTCGACTTTTCTGGCATCCTTACCGAACTTTTGGCAGAATGCATCCGACAAGTTGTGTGCTGGATCGGTTGAAATAAGTAAAAATTGTTCGTTTGGTTTGGCTAATGCTAGTTGTACTGCAACTGATGATGAGGTGGTCGTTTTACCGACACCACCTTTACCACCGACAAAAATCCACTTCAACGAGTCGTGTTGGACGACAGACTCTAATGTAGGTTCTAATTCTAAATCCATGATGCTGATGAGCTTCTAAATGTAAATTGGATGCTTCAGGAAATGCTTATTTGTTGAAACACTCATCAATTTACTAGTCAACGATTTCAAGCGGACTTCTGCGCGTGGTTTCCAGAAGGTTCTTCTGCTTGCTCAAAGATTGCAAAATATCGCCAGTACCTAATTCCCTCTTAGAGACTACGGTTCTTTTCCTAATGGAGTCTATATTCTATTAGTTTCCATAACGGAACTTTTTCTTGTCTTTTCTGTAGAAAATGAACTATAATAACAAAGGTGCAATAGTGATGCATTTACTTCTCATATATTCATAACATATTTTTGTAAGGAAGCTGGCTACCAATAATTATTTATCTCCTCTGTATATA